ACTCTGACTTTGTTTTTATTGGTGCACAATATTTATACATAATAGTGGGATTCATTGTGATAGATTCATCCATGTACATTACATAATTTGGTTGATTTCATTCTCTAGTACCTCTCCTTTGCCTTCCCTCTTCCCTCTGTTTTTCTTTTTCTGCCCTACTGGTCTCCCTTCTGTACTCATGAGAACTCTTTATATTCTCCCATCCCCTTTACCTTCTATACTTGAGAAGAAAACATATGATCGTTGGTTTTTGGAGTCCACTTAGCATGATGTTCTCTAGTTCTGTCCATTTACTGGCAAATGATATAATTCCATTCTTTTTTAGGCTGGATAAAATTTTCTTGTTAGATATACCATATTTTCTTTATCACAGATACCTAGGCTGGTTACATAATTTGACTGTTGTGAATTGTGCTGCTATAAATATGGAGATTCGTGTATCACTGTGATATGCTCATTTTAGTTCCTTTAGATAAATACCAAGGAGTGGAATAGGTGGGTCACATGGTGGTTTCATTCCTAGTCTTTTGATTGTACTGATTTCTGTAATGGTTGTAGTAATTTAAAATTCTCCAATGTTGAGTGTTCCTTTCCCCGTGTTCTTGCCAGCATTTTTTGTAAGTATTGGTATTAGTGTTAGTTTTAGTGTTAGTACTCTTGATGATGACCATTCTGTGTTGAAATCTCAGTGTAGTTTTGATTTGCATTTTCCTGATTGCTGAAGATGTTGATCATGTTTTTCATTTATGTTGGGCATCTGTATTTCTTTTGAGAAATGCCTGTTTAGTTCATTTGCTCATTCATTGATTAGATTGTTATTACTTTTTTTTTTTTTAGTGTTGAGCTTTGTGAGTTCTTTCTGTGTTCTGAATGATAACCCTGTGTCGAAAGAGTAGCATTTAAAGATTTTCTCCCATTCTGTAAACTTTATCTTCACATTCTTGTTTCCTTTATTACACAGAAGCTTTTTAATTGGATACCATACTATTTACTTATTCTTGTTCTTATTTCCTGAGCTTCAGGAGTCTTAGAAGAAAGTCATTGCCTGCACCTCTATGTTGGAATGTCAACCCTGTTTTCTTAGAACAGTTGCAAAATTTGTGGTCTTTGATCCACTTTGAGTTGAATTGTATAGAGTGAGCTAGTTTTATTCATCTACATATGGATATATAATTTTCCAAAAGGCTCTTTTCTCCAGTATGTTTTTGGCACCATTGTCAAGGATCAGATGACTGTATTTGTTTGTGTGCCTTCTTTAGATTAACTTTTTATGATATTTGCTGCTTATGCTATGATATTTGGGCTATAATGAAACATTTGGATTTAAATAATTTGATCTTACTCTTTGAAATATGAGAATATGCAAAAATGGCTTAAGAAATAGTCATTGACTCTATTATCAAGTACACACAGAAAAGAGGGCCAAGGCCTATCCCTGATTTAGTTGACAAAGATACAGAGGCCCATTTGCATTTTTTGCTTTTTATTAGAGACTTATAGTTATATATATCAGTTAGGTTCATCCTGACAGAATGATACATACATGGAATTCAATTTCACTTCACATTCCTCCCTCCTTTCCTTTCCACCTCTCTCCCCCCATTCTTCTTCCTCTTCTTTACTGATTTTTCCTTTAACCAAAATCTATCTATTTATTTTATATTTGATCATTTCTACTTTTACATAAAATTGAAATTCCCTGTGGTATGTGTACATGACGCACATAGCATGAATTTTCAAAATTCATTTTGCATTTCCTTCCTTTCCCCATCCCTCCTCCTTTCCTCTTGATCTTCTCTGATCTTCCCTATGTCTTTATGATATCTGATCCTCCCCTCATTCTTTTCCTTATTTTGCTCTAGCTTCCACATGAGAGGAAACATTGGACCCTTTACTTAGCATGATGTTCTCCATTTTCATCCATTTAAAAGCAAATACTATAATTTCAATCTTTATGACTGAGTAAAAGTACATTATGTATATATACCACGGTTTCTTTTTCCTTTTTTAAAAAAATGTTTATTTTTTAGCTTTAGGTGGACACAATATCTTTATTTTACATTTGTGTGGTGCCAAGGATCGAACCCAGTGCCTCGTGCATGCCAGGCGAGGGCTCTACACTGAGCTACAACCCCAGCTCCATACCACAGTTTCTTAATCCATTCATCTCTTGATGAGCATCTGGGTTGACTCCATGATTTGAATGTTGTAAATTTTGCTGCAATAAACATTGAGGTGGCTGTATTGCTGTTTGCTGATTTTAGTTCTTCAGATAAGTACCAAAGAATAGAATAGTGGGTCATATTGTGGTTTCATTTTTAGTTTTTTGAGGAATCCCCATACTGCTTTCCAAAGTGATGTTCTAGTGTGTAGTCTAGAGGGCCACTTTAAATTAAAAAACTTCTTATTCTTTTTAGTTATACATGACAGTAGATATCATACATATGTGGAGTATAACTTCCCATTTTTATGGTTGTACATTATGTGGAATGAAACTGGTCATGTGTTTATAAATGAACATAGGAAAGTTATGTCTGATTCATTTCTACTGTCCCATTCCTATCTCCCTTCCATCCCCTCATTCCCTCTTGTCCAATCCAGTGAACCAGCTAATCTGCATAGCAGAGACCATTCAGCCTTTGGATTTTTGGGATTGGCTTATTTCACTTAGCATGATAGTTTCTATTTCTGTCCATTTATCAGCAAATGCCATAATTTCATTTTTTATGACAAAGTAATATTCCATGTGTATAGGTACCATATTTTCTTTATCAGTTCATCTGTTGAGGGGTCCTTAGGTTGGAATTGATGTAGAGTGGGCTAGTTTTATTCATCTACATATGGATATATAATTTTCCAAAAGGCTGTCTTTTCTCCAGTATTTTTTGGCACCATTGTCAAGGATCAGATGACTGTATTTGTGAATTGAGCTACTATGAACATTGATGTGGCTGTATCAGTATAGCATGCTTTTTTTAAGTCTTTTGGGTATATACCAAAGAGTGAGATAACTAGGTCAAATGGTGGCTCCATTCCAAGTTTTCTGAGGAATCTCCATACTGCTTTCCAGAGGGGTTCACCAATTTCCAGTGCAAATAGCAATTTATGAGTCAACCTTTTCCCCACATCCTCACCAATATTCATTACTACTTGAATTCTTGATAATTGCCATTCTGACTGGATTGAGATGAAATCTCAGTGTAGTTTAAATTTGCRTTTCTCTAATTGCTAGAGATGCTGACCATTTTTTAAAATATTTGTTGACTGATCGATTGTATTTCATCTGTTCAGTTCCTTTGCCCATTTATTGAGTCATTTGTTATTTGTGTGGGCTTTTTTTTCTTTCTTTTTTTTCGGGGGGGGGGTGTTAAATTTTTGAGTTCTTTATATATCCTGAAGTGCAAGTGGCAAAGATTTTCTCCCATTCTGTCCGATCCCCCTTCATGTTCTTGATTGTTTTCCTTTGCAGTGAAGAAGCTTTTTAGTTTTATACTATACCATTTATTGATTCTGGATTTTTATTTCTTACACTGTAGGGGTCTTGTTGAGGAATACAGTTCCTAAGCTGTATTAGATGGAGATTTGGGCCTATCTTTTTCTCTAGTAGGCACTGGGTCAGAGGGCCACTTTTATATTCAGATAGTTTATTACTTAATTTGACATAAAAAGGAAGTTAGCTGAAGGTACCAGCTTTGCTTCATATGCTAGAAAGAATGACACTGCAACAGTTGGGTATGTATGACTCTAGTGGAAGTTGTGGGATACCCCATTACTGAGAGGCAGTTTTATATTCCGCAGCTTTTTTTCAAGGGAAATGGGACAGAGACCTTTGTACTTCTTTAGAACCCAAGAATTGATGAGAAGCTATCCCAAAACAGCCTAACAGAGTTTAGGGATCAAACTGTTTTTGCCAATGTTTTTGAAAGCCCTATATCCTTTGTGTTCTAGGGAATCAAATGATGTGTTCCAAGACTCAGAGTAGCTGAGGTAAAGGCAAAGTTAATCAAAATGATACAACCTGATAATCTTGAATAAGAAAAATATTTCAAATTACATTAATGATCACTAGTCAGTACTCTCGTATCTATATCTATCTATCTATTTATTTATTTTTAGCTAAGTGGCTGTCCAGGTTTAGCTGTATTGCTCTGAGACCTTGTGGAAAGAACTGAAGATACCATACTGGTTCTGCTTCACACGGGGAGACAGAAGCTTACTACATTATTATTGGGAAAGTCAAGGTTTTTAAATAGTGGTATACATTAGGCATGCATCTGGAGAAGCCATGTGGTTTGTACGTTACTGGGTTTAAATATCCCAGAGTTCTTTGCATAAAACTGGAACATAGAAAGTTTGACTACTTTATGGCTCTGGAGGCTGAGGCAAAAGGGTACTGAGTGCAGAGCCAGCCTCAGCAAAAGTGAGGTGCTGAGCAACTCAATGAGACCTTGTCTCCAAATAAAATACAAAATAGGGTTCGGCATGTGGCTCAGTGTTCAGTGCCCATGAATTTAATCCCCAGTCCCCCCCCCCCCCAAAAAAAAAGAAAGAAAAAGTTTGATTACTTTTTGTATGGTATAGTGTATTCATTTATCTGATATAATTAGTGAACACTCTACTAAAAAAACAGTCTGTTTTTTAAACTCAGGTTGCAAACCCATGATTAGAGGGGTAGAGGTGGTAAAGGTAAAAAATATCAGACTGCAATGCAGACATTAGTTAAGTATTGGTTCAAGAAACTAATAGTTTCAGGGTGTGTGTGTGTGTGTGTGTGTGTGTGTGTGTGTGTGTGTGTGTTTAGAGCAATAGCCAGTGTATTTATGCTTTCTTATCTGCATTGGGACTAAAACATATTTGAAACATTACTAGAAATACTCTATTTTAAATCTTACTTAAAATGTTTTATGGTAAAGCAAAAATGTATTACTTTGTAGTTCTAATTTATTATTGTTCTAAGTTTATAATATGTCATGAACTATTTTGTTGCTGTTTCTTTGTAGTTAGCTTCTGGAATTTATAATTTTGCCTGCTCTCTGTGGAATCATCATACAGATACATTCCTGCAGCAGATTTCTTCTGGCAGTGAAGCTGCAATTCTAAATTCACTTGAACGAACTCTACTATCATTAAAAGGTACTGTTAATCTTGATATGTTTTTTTTTTTTTTTAAGTGGTATACCTCAGGACAGTCACCAAATAGTTTTTTGTTGTTGTTGTTGTTGTTCCAGATTGCACTGGTAAAAATATTTTAATTTCTTCCTGAGAGACAAGGGCTTATTGGTCATTTGTGAGGTTTGTTTTTTGGGAGGGGGAAACTTCTCCTCTACCTTTTTAAAATTCATATTACTATGGCCTTTTGCCCCTGAATATATTCCTTTCATGGACCTCTACTTTTTGTTTCTACTTTACTTTTCTCATTTTTGGCCCCTATACTTCTCATTGTCTTGCTAACTTTTTTTTGAAGTCTTAGAAGCTTGATTGAGCTTAATCTTATAGCCATCCTTTCCCAAAGGATGGTTATGCCTCAGGCTCACTTAGATTTTTAGAAGTGCTTAAGGACTCATCAACCTGTGCTTTCTTAAACTTTGCTTATCTGCATTCCCTTAGTATAAATTTCTATTTCATCTTGCCTTAGTTATATATCTTGATGAATATATTCCAAGATTCTTTTTCTAAAACATACACATTTGTTTCATATTCTTTCTCTTCCAGCCCCTCTCCTATTCTGGTTACTAAGACTTTTTTGGTTTTTGTTTTTGTTGTTTTTATCTCATGTAAACTGTGTTTCTTTCTTGCTACAATTCATTTGCATTCTTCCCAGTTTTACTTACAAGCTGTTCTATCATACTCACTCTCGTACCTTTGAATCCCACCACACATTCTTGGCACTCCCCTAATGCATCACTTGTATTAATGAAACAAATCCCAAATTGTCAGCATGTTTTGGCAATTCCTGTGAACAAATGTGTAAATGATTTTAAGGAATTGTTGACAAAATCTGTTAATGGAAGTGAACTGAGATAATGTTATCATCATTCCTTTTTTTTGGGGGGGGGGCGGGGGGTACCAGGGATTCAACCCAGGACACTTAACCCTACAAGTAAGATATATTAACCACATTTTACAAATGAGGAAAATTAGATCTAGAAGAAAGATTTCTCAAAATAATATAGCAGGTAGGCAGTGGACCAAGGATTTAAATCTAGTGTTGCCTGGAATTCTGTTATCCTACTTGTCTCTCAATGTACACTAGTTTGTCAGAGTTACTCATAAGAGTGCTCACGTTTGAACACTAAATGCTATTTCAGATTTGAAATTAGTATAATTTTTATGAGACATTATAGTTCTATTAATGTAGCCTAATACTGAAGTTTTTAGTCTATGTTAAAATTTATGGAGATAGCCTCAATTTCAAGTAATAATATTAATAATTATATAAATTAAACTAAATTTTGCATTATAGCTATGATTAGTGACAACAACACTACTTTTGTGGTTCATAACTCCTAGGCTTTCACTACCTAACCAAACAACCCGGTGTTACTTCTCTTTTATTAAATGAGAGAGTAAAGATAGATTAACCTTCAAGCTTGATTAGGTTTTATGATTCAGTTTTTATTATAATTGTGATTTTAGCTTAACATTATCATTATGATTTTAATGTGAAGAAATGAGATCCAAGTAAAGTTTACCTTTATTTTCCAGTGCTGCGTAAGTTAACTGTTAATGGATTTGTGGAACCTCATAAGAATATGGAGGTGATGGTGAGTAATAGAAGTAATTTTTTTCTTTGTGGCTTTGAGACAGTGTTCGGTCTTTTCTTGAATGTTTGAAAACATAATTTTCTTATCTGTCATTCATTTAAGAGTTTTTATTAAATAACTAACTAGGGTTTTACCATTCTGTGTATATAATAGATAGAGTGAACTTTTACACTTCTGGTCTGTTTTCACTACATCAATGTAGCTGTTCTATAAAGGAGAGGATATAGGCCCTCTGTCTCAAAAATGATAGCATGGTACATTGGCAGTGTTAATTTGTTTTTTAAGTGAAAATTAACTCCTGTGAATTTGAGTGCTCTTACAATATTAGGTTCATTATAGACATTTATATCCTTGATATTTTTCTTTTGTTTTTATGTATTTGAAATGAATTTCTTCTACTGATCATAAAATTAATACATGTTCTTTGCTGTCAGTTTACAAAGAATAAATTGATGAGAGAAAAACATTGACAAGCCCTTACAAGTTGTGATATATGTTCATTGTTGGTATATATCTATCTACTTTTTTCTTTACAAAAATGCACAGCTACATTTTTCACCTAAATGAAATGGCATTTATATTCATTCAGATTTCTGTTAGTTTTATGAGTGAGTTTACCTCAGCTAAAATGTTGCTTTCTGTGGATTGCCTTGGGTACTGCATGAGACGTGAGGGGGAAAAATGCATCCCTTTGGGTCCTTTGACCTCCCTAACAGATATTTGACCAGAGCCACAGTTTTTTGTTTTTACTATTTAATGGATTCAATTTATTAGTAAGATTTTGGTTGAAGCAATGGCTCTGTTCTTAAGAGAGTTTAAAATCCATATTGTCATGTGATACTTAGCTTGTTTTATAAAAGTTAACATGCTTTTTTTGTGTTTGTTTAAAAAAGGAATAAAAAAGTAACATGAGATACAAATAATTTTTCAATTTTGTTATCCAGAGGTTTTGTTAAACTTCAGAAACATTCTTTGAGGCATCTTATGTCTATACTTTCAGGTGTACTTTTTCTCTTCCTCAGTATTATATAAATGGGACCATATTTACATGCTGCTTCCTTATCTCCTTTTTAAGAAATTTTTAAACAAACTCAATATATTATGGATCATTTCCCCAGGTTAGTTATTGTTCTGTGTCATGTTTTTAAATGGTAATATGGTTTGTCCATATGTTTATCACTCAACCAATTTTTTTAAAGATAAATTAATACAGGATTTCTCTAATTTATGTGGATAATTATTTATTGATAGATTTACTGGTGGTTTCAATTTTTAATTATTGATTGATAAGAGATACTGGAATGAACATTTAGGTACCTGTGTAGGGTACTTTTCAAATTATATCTTTAGGATATTTTCCTGAAAATGGAAATGTTATGCAGATCTATAATACTGATATTTATGATCAGTTTGCTGGAAGATACAGCCAAAAAAAAAAAAAAAAATCTCAGTTTTAGACAGTGATACGTTTTAGTTGCCATAATACCAAAAGAAAATTTTCTAGAAACCAACTGAACATTTCTCCCTCAATTCCCTAATTAGAATATAAGTTCAGTGAAGGCAAGGATTTATTTCTTTTTTATTTTATTTATTTATTTTTTTGTGGTTGTTGTTGTGGTGCTGGGGATTAAACCTAGGGCCTTGTGCATACAGGGCAAGTACTCTACCAACTGAGCTGTATTGCCGACCCAGGACTTTGTTTTATTCACTGTTCACCCCAGAGCTTCAGCTGTAGAAGAAGTACTCGATAGTTACTTGTGGAATGAATGCATATATATAATAAATTAGAATCAATGGATCAGAAAGCTCAGTAATTATATGTAATAGGACTCTTGAGTATCAGAATTAACTAAAGTATTGACAAAATTTGTGATTTTTTTCTGTGAAAACAAATTGATTTGGATTATATTCCTATAAAGTGGAATAGTGGTTTTCATTGCATATAATTAGTATTTTGTGAGCTTGTGTCTTCTCTGTCTTCTTCTGTCTCCAGATACTATATATAAGACTTTTCTCAGTTATATGTCCCTCATTGTAGCATTTAAGGGACATAATCCAATTGAAAAGAGGATTAAATTTGAACAAATTTGGGACTGCTTTTCAAATAATATAAAAATAGCATAAAACTTAAAAGATGCCAGAAGCAAATATGATAGTGGTGAGATTCTAGGCTTACGAGAAAGGGCCATTTTTCAGTTTGAATCTAAGCCTTTTTCTGAGAGTCTGGTCTTGGGTATTTACTTATCTTCACTGATACTCATTCTTTTTTTGTAATATGGAGATGAATTAATAGCACCTACCCCATTGGATGTTGTGAGAATTAAGGTAGATAATGATTTTTGTAATAAGGTTGGAAAATAATTAATTACAATTTTATTGTTATTTTAATTTGAGTTTTTGTTCTATTTTTACATAACATTAGTTGAATTGGCTTATTTGGACTATGGATTAGTCAGCTGCCTGTAATTCTGTATGCTTCTTTTTCTTTTCTTCCTTTTTTTTTTTTTTTTTTTTTTTCAGTTCTGGGGATCAAACCCAGGGCCTCAGTGCATGGTAGGCAAGTGCCTTACTAATGAGCTATACTCCCAGCTCAGTTCTGTACATTTCTGATTCTCTTGATTAGCCATGTATGACCTTTATAATTTTCTGCTATCTTTGGAGAATGCTGACTGATAATTTTATTTTTAAAAAATTCTTTCCATTTTGTAGTTAATGTGTGGTACCATTAGTCCTTTTATAAAGTTAAGATACATATAGGATCGTAGTGATCATATTTCATCTATATCGAAACCTTTTGTTGTTGCCTTATTCTATGAATCTATTGTTCATTATTTGTCAGTTATTCCCAACTGTGCTTAAATAGAAGAAATAATATGAAAATAGAAGAATGACAGAATTGCCAATAGGAAGATGGCAGTGGTGAAGTTAATTGCCCTACAATTGTTTTTACTGTGTTGACCATTGTGCTGCATCAGGTTTCAAGAAAATATTTTAAAAAAACCTAGAAATACAGTCATTTTACTCTACTTTTTAGCTTTTATTTAACCCAGTTCAGAATTTAGACTTTCCTGTCTGAAATGGTAAAGAGAGGAAAGATGATATTTGAGAAATTGTTCCCAATTTTTTAGATTAATCATGTAATAGATGCTGAGACTGAGAGCAGCACTTTAAATTCTAATGATGATGGTGACATTGATTGTCTAAGTAAAATCTCAGCCTATAAATCTTGATGATATCCTAATTGAATTTTTCAAATTCAGCAATTGATGAATTGGTAGTATATTTCTATAGACAAAGATAATATGGCATTATCTAGTTAAACATTGTTTTGTGACAAACCTAGACCTTCCCTTTTGCTAAAAGCACATGACATTGACATCTTTTATGATGTTTACACACCCAAATTTAATGATACAAAGAAAACTTATTACAATGTTTATTTTTCTACTATAACTATAGTTATTTCTGCAAATTATTCATAAAATATCTTAAAGTGTGTATTAAAGATAAAGGCCTGGGGACTGGGGTTGTAGCTCAGTGGCAAGGCACATGTCTCGAACATGTGAGGCACAGGGTTTGATTATCAGGATCACATAAAAATAAATAAATAAACAAAATAAAGATTAAAAAAAATAGGGGTCTGGATGTGGTATTGCATGCCTGTAATTCCAGCAACTCCAGAGATTGAGGCAGGAGGATCACAAGTTTGAGGCTAACCTCAGCAATTTAGAGAGGCCCTAAGCCACTTAGCATGACCCTGTCTGAAAATAAAAAGGGCTGGGGCTGGGGTTGTGGCTCAGTGGTGGAGCACTTGCCTTGCATGTGTGAGGCACTGGGTTCAATTCTCAGCACCACATATAAACATATGAATAAAATAAAGGTCCATCAACAACTAAAAACATTTAAAATTTTTTTTAATGAATGAAAAATAAAAAGGGGGGTGCTGGGATTGTGGCTCAGTGGTAGAGCGCTCACCTAGCATGGGCGAAACCTGGGTTCGATCCTCAGCACCACATAAAAATAAAGGCATTGTGTTGTGTCCATCTACACTAAGAAATAAATATTTAAAAAAATAAAAAGGGCTGGGGATGCTCCTGGGTTCAGTTCCCAGGTGGGTAACTGGTAATACTTTTCTTTTCTGGTATCTGAAGGTGCATGAAGTGTCTAAGACTAATACTTGACACTTACGTACATGTGGTTCAACTAACTGATATCTTTATTCATTTATTGAGTATTACTGTCAAGTCTTGTCCCTGTATTCAAGGATAGATCAGTAAACAAAGCAAAATTCTGGCCCTCAGGAGCTTGCATTCTACTTAGAGGAGCCAGATAATAAATAGACAAACAGTATATCAAGGGGTGGTAAGGCCTGTGAAGAAATATTACACAGAGTAAGGAGAATAGAGGGTGTTTAGTGAAACAGGATGCTTTTATGAGTAGATTTGAATTATTGTAAGTGATTTGTGTTAACTGACGAGTTACTGAATAGGCAGAGTACTACAGTTACTTTCTTGTGGAAGACTTGTTTATAATGATTTGATTTTTACTTTATATAAATATATGTCTTAGTTGTAGATGGACACTTTATTTTATTTTGTTTATTTTTACTTTTTTTATGTGATGTTTGAGATCAAACTCAGTGCCTCACACATGTTAGGCAAGTGCTCTATGACTGAGCTACAACCCCAGCCCTTACTTAGTTTAATTTTAACCTATTTTTCTTCAGTTGATTTTTTAAATATTTATTTTTAGTTGTAGATGGACACAATACCTTTATTTTATTTATTTATTTTTATGTGGAGCTGAGGATCAAACCCAGTGCTTTGCATGTGCTAGGCAAGCGCTCTGCCACTGAGCCACAACCCCAGCCCTTACTTAGTTTAATTTTAACCTATTTTTCTTCAGTTGATTTTTTAAATATTTATTTTTAGTTGTAGATGGACACAATACCTTTATTTTATTTATTTATTTTTATGTGGAGCTGAGGATCAAACCCAGTGCTTTGCATGTGCTAGGCAAGCGCTCTGCCACTGAGCCACAACCCCAGCCCCTTCAGTTCTTTTTTTAAAATGATGTATAGATATGTCATAGTATCCCTTTTAAAAAGTACAAGGTAAATGTTATAATAGAATAAATCAAGACACTTTAAAATGTATTCTTTTTTAGGGTTTTTTACATGGGATATTTGAACGTCTAAAACAGTTTCTGGAATGCAGTAAGTACTTCCATCATAGTAGTTTTTACTGTTGGATCCTTATTTGTTACAGCTTATTCATTATTCATTAAAGATTAGGGTTGGTGAAGAATTAATAGGAGTTAAAGAGTGGGTCCCTATCCATTCAGAGCTTCTCTTCCCATATGCAAGTCTGGAGAAAGTTTTTGTCTGAGCAACTCATTTGTTGGACAATCTGAGTGAATTCTTAGTAGCTGGATAGATAGTGTATGTGGCTAAAATATGCTTCTTATACCTTGATAATTAGCTTTTTGAAGGTAGATTGGAAGCTTGGGTTTGTCTCCATCTACCTTTCTTATTCTGAGTATAGCGGAAATCTTTATTTAAAATAATCTATTTTGTGTCCATTTTTTCTTCTAATTTCTACTACAACCCCCCCTTTTCCAGGCATACATCCATAGCAGTCATAATGTTGAATAGATAGTAAGTTATATACTATATGCCAAATGGTTTTTAGGCTTTTTTATTGAGTCTTTTAGTATGTTTTCTGTATCACTATGATATACATTTTGCTAAGTGATCCTTTCATTTTGCAAATCTCATAATCATTATCCCCATCTGGATCACATTTAGGATGTGATCTGCCCTACACAGAGAATATAGCATTTATATTTGCATTTATTTTACTGGTGGTCTCTTATCCTTTTACCTTCTATGTGATTGTAAATACCTTTGTTCAGGACACACACCTTCAATCAGATGAGTGTGTGTGCATATACTGTGTGTTCATGTTCATTTGGGCATTTCCTACCTTGAGAAGGTATATTAGTCTGTACTTTTATTTATTTATTTATTTTTAATAGAGAGTGAGTGAGAGAGAGAGAGAGAGAGAGAGAGAGAGAGAGAATTTTTAATATTTATTTTTTAGTTCTCGGCGGACACAACATCTTTGTTGGTATGTGGTGCTGAGGATCGAACCCGGGCCGCACACATGCGAGGCGAGCGTGTTACCGCTTGAGCCATATCCCCAGCCCCTTAGTCTGTACTTTTAGTGATTGTTGATTATTATATGTTAGTCATTTTAAACCTAGTTTAAATTATTGACCCTGTTGTCAGGCATGCTCTTGGGTACTATGCATGCAAAGATGAATAAGATAGCTCATATTGTGTGTTTTTTTTAATATTTATTTTTTAGGTGTAGATGGACACAACATAGTGCCTTTATTTTTATGTGGTGCTGAGGATTGAACCTGGGTCCCGCCCATGCTAGGCGAGCGCTCTACCACTGAGCCACAATCCTAGCCCTCATATTGTGTTTTTAATTTAAACCAAAGTGGGGCTGTCATTTTTCTCTGGTCATAAACTTGGGGTTAGCAGAAGGAAGAACCGAAGTCCTTCTAGAATAGTAGAATCAGATAATTGACAAAACAGATTATGAGGAGTTGATGGGCTGATGGACATTATTCTGATGTGCAAAATAAGGGAAGGGAAATTTTCACAAGGGTACTTCAGAAGTGATAGGAAAAGTGATAGTGAATATATTACTGAGTGTTTTTTGTTGACTGAAAAGTACTTCAGTTAGAACTAAAACAGTTTTTGAAAATGTGATTTATGATTTGTTGCTAAAATTGTCACCTTTTTACTTTAAAATGGATTCAGTTTCTCTTTTAGGGTTAATTTTGTATAATTTGGCTGAGATGCTTATTTTATTAAATGAAATTTTACTTGCTATTGGTTTTTGAATAATAAGTTAATAACGCAAAATATACAAGAATGTAACAGGCAGTATTTTTGCAAAAGTTTTGGTATTTTGTTTGTGAATTTGTAGGATATTATCAACTTGTACTAATTTTTGAAATGTTATTTTAACAGGTAGAAATATAGGTACAGATAATGTGTGTAGAGATAGGCTGGAGAAGACCATCATTCTTTTTACTAAAGTGGTAAGTTTTCTTTTTATCTTGAGTACATTTTCTGAAATTAATATATCTTCTCAAATTTAAGAAGGAAAATGTTTTTGTAATCATAAATTTTCACTTGAATGTAAGGAAACTCATATTCTTACTCTTTGTAGGAAAGCTAAAATCACCTTTGTATAATGTAACTTTTTGAATGCATATAATAGTTAAATTTATATAACACAAACCTTCACAATCCTAACAAGTGTTAGAGAAGTTGATTCCTCTAAAGCTTATTCCTAGACCCACTGGAAAGAGCTGAGATTAAGAAGATGGCAGTTCAGCCTGAAATAGATCAAATGAAGCAGGTAGAGTAATATCAGGAAGTCAGCATATTCAGAATGATTGTCAAATATCATCAATATCATGTTTTGTTTTTAATTTTTATTTAATTTTTTTCAATTTGCTCTTTTTACATATACATGACAGAGTGTATTCTGACATTATACATACATGGAGTATAACTTATTCTAATGAGGATGTCATTTTTGTGGTTGAACATGATGTGGAGTTACACTGGTTGTATATTTATATATGAACACAAAAAGTTATGTTTGATTCATTCTGTCTTTCCTATTCCCATTCCTTCTCCCTTCCCTTCATTCCYCTTTATCTAAATCACTGAACTTCCTTATTGTGTATTAGCATCTGCATATCATGGAGAACATTAGGACTTGGTTTTGTGGGATTGGCTTATTTCACAAAGCACAGTAGTCTCTAGTTCCATCCATTTACTGGCAAATGCCATAATTTCATTCTTCTTTATGGCTGAGTAATGTTTGATTGTGTATATATACTACATTTTCTTTATTCATCTCTTGAAAGGCATCTGGGTTGATGCCATAGCTTAGCTATTGTGAATTGAGCTTGCTGTATACATTGATTACATATGTTTTAAATGGAATTTTATGGGTTCACTGTACTTGGCAGTGTGTGTATACGTTTCTGATAATGTTAAGAGTCATATAACATTAACTCGTAAGAAATTTGGGCTTGGAGAATTGGGAAAAGTGCAGAGTTGGGTTAAAGAAATTAGGAAGATCTGGTTTGAGGAGTACTTGCACTAAAATAGGTACTTGGAGAGAGGTGGGAATATCTAAGCCTATAATCTATTTTCTCTCTTCTCTCCTCCTCTTCCCCCCTCCCTCTTTCCTCATTCCCTCCCTTCCTCTATTTCTTTCTTTTCTTGTTTTTTTTTTTGGGGGGGGAGTACCCTGAATTAAACTCGGGGACGCTTAACCCTGATCCACATCCCTAGCCCTTTAATATTTATATTTTGAGGCAGGGTGTTGCTAAATTGCTGAGGTTGGCCATGAACCTGCTATCCTACTCTCAGCCTCCCGAGTCACTGGGGTTATAGGCAAGCACCACCACACCTGGCTATTTTCCCTTTTTAAATGAAGGTTCAGTATTAGGGTTAGAATTGTCTGTTTCTCTTGGAGATAAAAGGAATAGGAATAATCTGGAGGGGAGGGGAGAGAAAGAAAGTGTGTGTGTGTGTGTGTGTGTGTGTRWGWRAGAGAGAGAGASAGASAGASAGASASAGACAGACAGACACTGTTTATATGTATGTGTTTAGGTGGTAGTCACCTTTAGTTTTAGTTGTCTTCATTTCTTATGTTCCAGATAGCCTCAACAGTAAAACTTGACCTTCTGGGATCCAGTATAAAGTTGCCTCCAATCCAAGCAAATTAAAATCCAAGCAAAGTAAAACAGGATGATGAAGTTAAGTTAGTCAGTGGGGCTGGGCAGTGTATATCTCTGACACTTGCCAGCATCTCTGCAGTTCCTGCTCAGTATATCAATTATATAAGTAAAATTTAAAAAACATTGTTTAGATAGTCTGTATTAGAAACACATTTGTTATTGACCTACTGATTTTTGTAGTTCTTGCTTTTACTTTTTATATTTATGTTTTGAGACCATGAATTGAACCCTAGAGTACTTAACCACTGAGCCATATCCCCAGCCCATTTTATTTATTTATTTTTTATTTTGAGACAGGGTATGGCTGAGTTGTTTAGGGCCTCACTAAGTTTCTGAGGATGGCTTTGAATTTATAATCCTCCTGCTTCAGCCTGCTGAGTTGCTGGCATTGCAGGCATGTGCCACCATGCCCCGCTGTAGTTCTTTCTTTTAGTTCTTACTTTAGGTGATGATGTAGATAGATGGTATCTGTAATTTATTCTACTTTTTAGAATGAGTTCACAGCAATAATTTTATTTACAAAATCTATATTTATGATCTCTAAGACTTTAATGAAAACCTTTAAATTGGGAAACATCATATATGCCTTCAATAGAATTGAATAAGTTTCCATTTGTTCATAATCCAGTTTCAACAATTATCAACATATAGTCATGGTAAATCCTATTTTATTTGTGTGCTTCCTTTCTCTCCCCACTCTTGCTGATTATTCCAAAGCAAATCCTAGATGTTCTATAGTATTATCTGTAAGTATTTTATTGGTACCAGGGATTGAACTTAGGGCCACTCAACCACTGAACAACATCCCCAGCCCTGTTTTGTATTTTATTTAGAGACAGGGTCTCATTGAATTGCTTATTTCCGTGCTCTTGCTGAGGCTGGCTTTGAACTCATGATCCTCCTGCTTCAGCCTCCTGAGCTGCTGGGATTACAGGTGTGTGCCACTGCACTTGGCTTTTTCAAAGTGTTTTTTTTTTTTCTTAAAAAGATTTTGACCTTTCATTTTTTTCATAGATATTTTATATATATTCATTTCCATAGGCAAACCCCAGATTATTACAAACATAAAAATACTGCATAACTTTAAAATAGACATAGATAAAAGTTATATTTATAAACTTTCATGTAAATGTTTAATTCTATATTCATATTTATGTATGTATATAGATGTATGTATTCTAATGGTAACCTTCACCCTCAACCTAGTCCCTACTTCAGAACTAAACCTAACCCTACCCATTACCATCAGTCTTCTAAACAAAAATTGTAATTATTACTTTGAATACCCATATATATCTATTTTTAAATATTTTTAGTTGTAAATGGATCTTCTATTTAATTTATTTATTTATATACTGTGCTGAGGATTGAACCCAGGGCTTCACACATGCTAGACAAGCGCTCTACCACTGAGCCACAACTCCAGCCCCCTCATATATATTTTTACATCCATATTTGTTTATATGCTTATAAACATACGTAGGTATGTACCCTAATGCTAAACAAAATCCTGCCCATAAATTTTTATATATGTTCAGTTACATATTCTTAAAATATATCTAACAACAATGTAAACCTCCATCTCAAAAAAAATTAACTGTATACAAATCCCTGTACATTTAAATATTTTCATTTATATTTATATATATATGTATTTATATTGTATTCATATATTTGGATAATAATGTTTAAAACCTAAACTAATGCTAACTATTTTTCTACACCTCTTCCTTTATATCTACCAGTATGCCTCACCAGAACCTCTGTATATATAAACCATAACAATTTACATGAATGTACCTATATATTATGGAATATAAATTCATAAATATTGTTAAATGCAAATAATAACACTTTTCACAAATATTTCTGTATATGAGATATATATTTATTTATATATATTCATATTTATTTGTATAGAAATTACTACCATAATGCTAACTCTATTCCTGATATTAATAAGCAATTCTTAATCCCTATGACTGCAGCCCAAATTCACAATTATAACTCTAGGTGCTTAATTTAAAAGATTTTACAAAGACTTAAAATCTATTGTAATTTCACCTAATCCCTAAATCTAACTGTACGTTTTGATACRTTGTCTGTGTGTTTGTGTGTGTGTATATATGTTTTGACATATATATAAATAATACATATGCCTATATATTCTTTACTTAAACGTATATATTATCTATTATGAAATATAGTTTGTATTCCCAGTCATTTTGGTTTATTTTGGTTTTTAACTTGACTCTTGGTTTCTCCTTTGATTGGCTTTCCTTTAGTGTAGTTCCTCCCTTTACTGATTTTCATTGTTGTTTTTCATTTCTTCCTCATGAATAGTTTGCTGATTCTATAGTGCAGGCTCTCTCACTGTAAATTTTTTTAACTTTTGTTTATTATTGAAGATATTTATTTCATCATCAAATCTGAAGCTTAATTTTGCTGGATATAAGATTCTTGGTTGACATCCATTTTCTTTCAGAGCTTGGTATATGTTGTTCCAGCTATCTTGTAGTTTTGAGGGTCTGGGTTGAAAAACCCATTGAGATCCGAATTGTTTTCCTCCTATATGTAATCTGAAACTTTTCTCTTGTGGCTTTTAAAATTCTGTCCTTATTTTGTATGCTAGGCATTTTCATTATTCTATGCCTTGGTGTGGATCTGTTGTAATTTTGTATATTTGGTGTCCTGTAGGCCTCTTGTATTTTCCAATTTATTCTTTTGTTTTAAGTTTTCAATGAACCTTTCTTTTGTTTACTTTCATGTGGTGCTGAGATTCGAACCTAGTGTCTCACATGTGCTAGGCAAGCACTCTGCCACAGAGCTACAACTCCAGCCCCTCCAATTCATTCTTCATGTTTGGGAAATTTTCTGATATTATTTCAGTGAAGAGATTGTGTATCCCTTTGGTTTGTATCTCTGAGCCTTCCTTTACCTTGCTAATCTTAGATTTGGTCTTTCATGTTATCCCATAATCTTGGAGGTTCTGTTCATGGTTTCTTACTATCTTCACTGTGCGGTCAACTTTTATTTTCAAGATTATATATTTTGTGTTCATTGCCTGAGATTCTGTTTTCCAAGTGATTTAGTCTATTGGTGATGCTTTCTATTGATTTTTTTTTTGTTTGGGTTATTGTTTCCTTCATTTCATAGATTTCTTTTTTTAAGAATCTCTCTTTCTTGAGGTAATCTTTTGCTACATCTATTTGCTTTCTTATCTGTTTGTTGGAGTGATCAATGGTTGCCTGTATTTGCCCTCTTACATCATTCTTTGCTTTGCATTTCATTTTAATTATGTACATACATTCTGAACTCCTTCTCTGACATTTCATCTACTTTGCTGTCAATGCAGTCTATTAGTGTAGTATCTTTGTTTGGAGCACTTTCTTCTCTTTTTTTTTTTTTTTTTTATGTTGTTCATGTGTCTTTCTCTCTAGCAGTGCAGATCTGAGGTATTACAGTTTCTACCCTATAATCTTGTAGTTTTCCTGCAGGTTACCAGTACCTTGCTTTTAAGGGGGAAGATCAATATTTATAGCATCCAATGCAGACAATATGCAGCTCATATTTTAGACAATTATAGTTCTGTCCCATTAACAGAAATGATGTCTTCAGTTAGTAAATACAATATAAATAGTAGGTTTGCATAAGGTTCTACAGTTTCTAATGATAGACAAAGAAAGAGCGGGGGTGAGGTGTTGAATGTGGGGTTTATGAGATAGGAGGTGGGAATAGAGAGGTATTAGATCGCAGGAGGAGTGAAATAGGAATCAAGAGAAGTAGGCTAGCAGGGATATCTCCAGTGTAACCAAGCCTGCAGGGACCTTGGTGATGGTCTTCCAGGTGCTGGTTGTTGTCTCTTGATGGAGGCAGGCTCCTCCCTAGTTTGTGGCAATGGCAGTGTCAAACCTGTAGGTACCTTGATGTTAGGCTTCCAGGCCCTAGCCAGTGTCCTAAGGTGGAAGCTGCCCCAACCAAAGTTGGTGATATTGGCATCGATGGTAACCAGGATGACTGCGGAGTTGTCCCAAGAGGAAGGCTACTGCTTTCAGAGATGGGGCTGATAGGGCAGGCCATGCGATGGCATTGGGCAGCCTGTTTGGAGATGCAGCACTGTGTCATTCATTTTTCAAAAATTTTTTTAGTTGTAGATGGACACACAATATCTTTGTTTTGTAAATTTATGTTATATGTGGTGCTGAGGATTGAACCTCGTGCCTCCCCTTGAGAGGCAAGGGCTCTATCACTAAGCTACAGCCCCAACCCCTCCTAAAGCATTCTTAAACACAGTTGTCACATTAAAAAGTACTAATTGATTTCATTTAAATATCTATTCTGTTTTCAGATTTCTCTTTGTATAAACTTTTTATAATTGGTTTATTTGACTCGGGGATAGTATCTGTTATCTTTCTATTCTTCTTTTTCCTTGCTCTTTATTTGTTGAAGTAATAGCTACTTTCCTGTAGTGTTCACCATGTTTTGAATTTGCTTGCATCCCTATGTGTTATTTAAGATATTCCTTTGTCTCCACACTCTTCTTATCCCTCCTATATTTCTCATGAATTTGTAGTTACATCTAGAAGCTTGGTCACATTCGGGGTATTTTTATTTTCTTTTGGTAGGGGATGCTGACAAGAATACTTTGTAGGCAATGTTGTGTATTCATATTGCAGCCCATCAAAAGGCACACAATATCTGATTATCTCTATTAGAAGGCGAAGGTTGATGAGTGAGCTATCCGAGTTTCTCAGCACCCTTTCCCCTCTAGATTTTAGCAGCCATGCCTAGTACCATGATTTGATTGGGATTACAAAATGATGGCATTCTAATTCTATTATTCCTTTTTGCATTTATTAGCTAGAATTTTTCTATAAAGAAGAAATCTCCCTCATCAGAACTATTTGGTCCATCGAAATACAGTTCATACAGAAAGGCAGGATTATTTTTTAATTCTTTCCCTTTATTTATTACTTTTTTTAAAAAGCCTACCTTTTATATACAAAATGATTTGTATCACTTTTACCCATTGTTATCAAATTAGTATGAAGCAGGACTTTTTTGGTCCCTGTAATGGAAATAATAGAAAAGTCTTATTATGAGATGTAATGTGGCAAAATCCATGTTATATTATGTACTTCAAGAAGGGTTATAGTACAGGTAAAACTGAATATATGTAGACTCTTACCAAGGTTCAAAACTTGCTAAATTTTAATTAGTAAACTTATAACTGAAATGATTATATTCCAATACGAATTTGGGAAAAATGCATTTAATTTTTTTTTTCACAGCTTTTAGATTTCTTGGATCAGCATCCATTTTCATTTACTCCTCTAATTCAGAGATCACTGGAATTTTCTGTAAGCTATGTTTTTACTGAAGTGGGTGAAGGCGTTACATTTGAAAGATTCATTGTCCAGTGCATGAATCTTATTAAGATGATTGTCAAAAATTATGCTTATAAGCCATCCAAAAATTTTGAAGGTAATGCATTACTGGTAGGTTTTTATTTTTTTTTCCTGGTCTTACTTTTTTTTATTTTAATCTTAGTGTGAAGTATTTTGATATAGATTTTTCTTGAAACTCATTTATCAAATTCTCTTTTGTAACACCTTAGAAGATCAGTTCAAGCTTAAGGACTTTAAGAATTATATACTGTAATAACCTCTGAAGCTCATGTCGTAGGCTGTATTCATTTGAACAATTAAAGTTTTCTCTGACTTTATACAAAGTAGGGTTGTTTAGAGACAGGTTAAATTGTATGTTATTTGAAATTTCTTCATGTGCATGTGTTCCAAGATGAATGAGGAAGGTTTGTAAATGGAAGGGAGAGAGACAGACATACATATCAGTTGGTCACTTCAATATGCTGCAATAATATAGCRTAACGATGCATAAGCTATGTGGACAAGGCTGGACTGATGAGGTATATTATAAATAAAGAGCCTCTTTGAAATTTGTTCCTAATAAAAATGAATGTTTATGCACAAAGTTTATCTTTACCCCCAAAAGCATGTTTTTATAAAAATATATATATAATCCAGCTTCAGTAGAATGTTTGGCTATACAATTAACTTGGAAATTTTAATTTTCTAGATAGCAGCCCTGAAACTCTTGAAGCCCATAAGATTAAGATGGCCTTCTTCACATACCCTACTTTGACAGAGATATGTAGAAGATTAGTCTCTCATTATTTTTTATTAACTGAAGAAGAATTGACAATGTGGGAAGAAGATCCAGAAGGCTTTAGTAAGAATTACTTTTTCTGTATTATTGTGGCTTATCTCTCCATTTCATAAACAAATATCTTGAATGATAGGTATAATAACAAAGTATTTTTATGTAGTACTTTTGATCTGGGTATCTTTTTTTTTTTTTAGTTGTCTTTCTTACCCTTTAGAACAATTTGAGACACCAAATGAATGATTCATTTAACTGTAGTGGAAAATTTTGTTCAGGAAGACACCATTTTAAGTTTTTAGATACCCTTACAAATACATGGTTTAAAACAAAAATTAAAAATTACTTTCTTGCCCTGTTAGGTCAATTTCTATTTTGTGATTCATTCCATATTTTTTTTTCACTTTTGAAAAGTTGTACTTCAGAAAGACATTGGAAGATCTTTTTTTGAAGGGTTTCTGGGGATTGTAAATACAGTTTCAGTAAATGCTTATGAATGCTACTCACATGCTGTATCACTGAGCTTTTATCCTAGACTGGAAATTTTTTTGATGCTTGTTTTTCCTAACAGGAGACCTGTCTATCTGTTTGAATTTTAGTAGTAGATCAGTCATTAGATACATAGATAGGTGAGTAACAAATCTATCATGCCATTGCTATAGAAAAGAAAGGAATCATGTAATTATAAAATGCCTTTGTGTGAATTACTTTGGCCATTAGTGGGACAAGAGCTAGATTTTAATCTCTACTTATCCCTTTAACTGGATCCCATAGAATTCCTAATATTTTAAGATTGCCTTAGTTGTTTTGGAATATATACCTTCCTTTTTTTTAATTTAGAAATCATTTTAAAAATATATTACACAATACATTTTTCTTTTTTTCTTCTTTTTCTTCATCATCTCCTTTTTCTAACTAGCATCTTCTGTTTCTTGCTTTCTTTATGCAGTTTATATATTGTATAACATGAGGAATTGAGACCTACCTGGGGTTGTGGCTTAGTGGTACAGCACTTGCGTGATGTGTGCAAGGCCCTGTGTTTATTTCCTAGCACAACCACCCCAAAAAAGAGAAGAGGTGGGAGGGAATGAAACCTCTAGATTTTTTTAAAGTCCTGAAGTATTTTACTCCAAGTATAAATACATGTAGGAAATTTATGAAAAATGACTAATCATTTTAAGTTGAGAAATATGATTACAGTGTTGCAATGATTATCAGGACTATAATGATATATTATCAGATGATGTCATATACTCTGGAAATGATAGGTACATTGAGCTTTCCTCCAAAAGGAATTTTTAATGAAAGCAAGAACACTTACGGATTTAATAAGCACTTGGATAGGAGGTTGTGTAATATACAGATGTTATCTRTGATTTATAGGAAAGAATTCTGTAAGTTTGTGTTTTCAAGGATTTGCATTTAGTGCTATGTTGAAAACCATTTACAGAAATACTGTGCTATTATTGAAATCTCTGTTTTTCCAAATTGGATTTTGTAAACATCGTCATTGCATTTCTGGAAAACATTACTTGTCGTCCTTTTAATTGCAGCAGTGGAAGAAACAGGAGGAGATTCTTGGAAATATAGTTTGAGGGTAAGTATTAATTGAAAAAAACTGATAGGGTAAAGCTTAATCCTCAAGCTCTTAGAAAATGACACTGTTAAATTCTAAACAGTAAGTCAGACAGATAGGAAATTGTTTCTAATTACAAGAAACTTTGTTTAGAGAAAAGTATTTGATTAAATTATGAATTCTAATCTGAATTTTTTATTTTTTTGTTAACTTGGTGTTTACAAACTGTGTTTTTCAATTTTTAGTAAAGTTTCTTGGGAAATAATTTGTCATTGAACAAATGTAAGATATTTGTAGAAGTGAATGCTGCTACTTTTTGCTAGAATGATTTTTTTTTTCCTTAGTATTTCATTAACAGAGTTTCTTTAGATATCTCATTTTCTTATTACCAAGTGTCATGCTTTTAGAGCACATTATTGATATGGCAAATGTTTTGCCTTTATGAAAATTTATCAGATATGATCACTGAGCTATTCTTTTTGTTAAGACCTGTTTTTACATAATTCATATAACCTGCCATTGGTTTTCTAAAAATACATCTTAATATTTTTAGACTTATAAGCTTATAATTGTAAACCAGAGAAATTACTGGAGCTTTAAAAACTTGTTCTAATGGACAAGGTTAAACAGAATAAAATTATGAACCCTTCCTGAAAACCTAGTTTGTTATTAACATATTGGCTAGTCTAGTTTCATAATAAGAATTCCTGCCCCAAACTAATTTGAAGTAAATATCTGGGATGACATAGCATATGTTTTTTTGTATGTCTAAGATTTTTTTTTTAAACATAAAGCAGAATACTTTAGACATTTACTTACAGTTCTTTTCTATTTTGAACCATTTAGAAATTCAGCACTTTTACTAATCACAGTGAGTCATTTTTTCAATATAGGTAACAACAATTTTTGTTATTGTTTTTGTTAAAAATACATATTATTTTATTTTTGTTACTAGGGATTGAACCCAGGGGTGCTTAACCACTGAGCCAAATTTCCAGCCCCTTTTACTATTTTATTTTGAGACAGGGCCTTGCCAAATTGCTCAGGGTCTTGCGGAGTTGCTCACAGCCTCACCTAGTTGCTGAGGCTGGCTTTGAAATTGCAGTCCTCCTGCGTCAGCCTCCCAAGACACTGGGATTATAGGCATGTGCCACCACACCCTGTACTATTTTATTTTTAAATCCAGAGTTTTTAAAAGTTTTGGATTTTAAGAATATATGTTCTTTGATTTATTATAAAATAAATATAATATGCCATCATTTTTATTATAAATTTGTTTCTTCTCCCTCCAGCCTTGCACTGAAGTACTATTTATAGATATATTCCATGAATATAATCAGACTCTTACTCCTGTACTTTTAGAAATGATGCAAACCCTCCAAGGTAATGTGTTTTTTGAGATACATATTTATTTATCCATTTAATTAATGTTCAGTAAAAAATGGTTAATTGCTTACTATGTGCAACATGCTATTTCTTAGGTTATATAATGGATATGAATTTGAAAAAGATTGAATGCATTCCTTCCTGAAAGGAGGACATTTGAGATAGGACTTGAATTATAGTCTGGATATGATAATTAGATTTTGCTGTCATAAACATAGTAGCAGCATGAGCAAAATGGCAATCACATTCCTTGGGGAGATAGTCTCTCCGGAGCATGTTTTGGTAAGGAATGAATAAAGGTTAACATAGTGTGTTGGCCTCCATAGGGTGGTGGCAGTGGGAGAGGAAAGAATATATGGATTTAAAAGAGAATGATGGAGTAAGTTTTAGGTACTTGTTTATTGCATTTTGTTCACAAATAATTATTTAACTATTAACATTGATTTATATTTTCTGAATTTTGTGCCAGACTCAGGGGACATTGATCGCAGCTGTTTTGTTCAGTCTTTATTCCCAATGCCTGGCACAGTCAATAACTGTTTATTTATTGATTGACTTTTCACAACTGATTGAATATGCTGGGTAAGGGAAAATAATAAAAAATGTTCCTGAACTTTTGAGTTTTAATGATAGGCAAAGCAGTTATCTCATTAATAGTGGTTGGAGGTACAGATACTTTTGGAATACATGTATATAAGGAGTCTTGGGAGAGAAAAGAGGTTCSAGACAGAACCTGAGATTTTCACCTGTAGGGGTAGGAGGAGGTGATTGTTTTATGAATATAAGAGGCAGAAGGCAGTGGAATCTCCCTAGAGAATAGATTAGTTGGGGCAGGAATCACATTGAGTAGGTAGAGATTTAAAGGAATGACAGAAAGAAAATTTCTTGTAGAAATGGTGATATCTGATCTTGTTGGTTATAAGAAGCTGTGTTCTTCAAAAAGCTTAGTAGATTAGTTTTTCTGTTTAAATTATAAGCCAAAGCAAATATAGGCTATTTAATATAATTATGTTAATTTAAAAAGATTATTTGGACATTATTTTATTTTACTATTAATTGATTTGCAGTGTCTAATTGCCAGTTTCTTAGTGCAGGATAAAAGATTATTTGTTAATATGTATACTACGTAAGTTGCTTTGTATGTTTTTGCATGTGGTTTTGTTGGTGTCTGTTCTTCTATAGAAGAAGAGTATTATGTGAATTTACTTTTTTTTTTTTTTTTAGCCACCGAAGGAAGTGATAGATTATTTAGGTTAAATTTGGTCAGTTTGCTGTCTGATGGTAAGGTTTTCAAGGATTTCTGAGTTCAATTTTCCTTCTAGCTCTGCATCAGTTTGCTTATTTAGAACTTACTTATTATAGCTTATTAGAATAAGTTTAAAAATTCCTATTTAGCAATGGAAGAGTGCTTTGAGAAACTTGGTAGAAATTTTTCTCTTTTATAGAAATCTATTAACTAAGGAAATTGTGTTTTCCATGTCTACTTCTGATATCCTTCTTGAATAAATAGCGAAGACTGCCAACTTTTTATTGTCCTGTTCTAATTCATCTTTTTATTTTTTTTCAAAGAATTTTCTTTTATAATGAGGATATTACAGTTAACAATTTGTGGTATATGTTTCTCTAGAATATTGCTTGTCATACATTTTTTGAATGTGTTTAAAAGATTTTTAATGTTGTTTATAGCTTTACATCTTGTACTCATGTTCTTCGAGGGCAATGGTAATAAAATTTAGACCTCCCCCTTGTATATATGGTTAATATTACCAAGTATGTTGTACTTAGTTTAATTGAAAAACTAAGTTAGGATTGAATAAACACTGAAGTGTCTATCAGCAGGTGAACAGATAAAGAAAATGTGGTATGTATACACAGTGGAATACTACTAATATTAAACAGGAAGGAAACTGTCATTTATTACAACATGATTAGAATTGTAGATGTTATCAAAGTGAAATTGATTTAGGCATGGGAACACAAATACCACGTGTTCTTTCTTGTATGTGAAACCTAATATGATAGAAGCCATAGAAGTAAAGAATGGAATAGTGATTACAGAGGCTGAGGGATGAGGATAATGAGGAGATAATGGTCACATGGTACAATATCATTTTTAAAGTTGTCTGGCACACTGTGAAAATACAGTTACTAGAGTATTATACACTTCAGAGTTGTTGAATAGATTTCAAATATTTTCACCACAAAAATGTTAAGTATTAGAAGTGATGGCTATATTAGCATTTTTATTTAATTATTTCATGTAAGTATTCATAGAGAATAACATCATTTTGTATTCCATAATTCATATAGTTATAAATGGTTAATTTAGAATAAAAAAGGTAAAAAAAATATTTTTAAAAAACTAGTAAAAATTAGAAAAACCAGTACTGCATCATCTCATTCATAAGTAAATTATAAAAATGTTGATCTCATAGACTCAGTTGAGAGAAGAAAGGTAGTTACCAGAGACTGGTAAGAATAGGGAATAGAAGAAGATGGAGAAAGACTGATCAGTAGATAGGATACTAAGCTAGAGTTAGACAGGAATAAGAACTTCTGGTGTGCTGCTGCATAGTAGGATAATTATATTTAACAAAAATGTGTATTTCCAAAACCTAGAAGAAAGAATTTTAAATGTTTTTACCATAAAGAAATGACCAATGTTTTAGATGACAAATATGTTTAACCTTTAACCTGATTCAAACATTATGCAGTGTATACATGTATCAAAACATCACAGGTTACCCCATTTACATGTATGATTTTTTTGTTTACTGTATCAATTAAAATAATTTAAATTCTTAAAATGAGTTTTGCTTATTTTTACTGATACTTATTTTTTTAGGGCCCACCAATGTGGAAGATATGAATGCATTGCTAATCAAAGATGCTGGTATGTTAAACTTAACTAGTTTAGAAATATTTAGTTATTCAATAGATGGAGGGTCTGTTTTGTGGTAAACTTTGTGCTGGGAAAGTTGGGATACAAGAGTAACCAAAATATAGGAACTATCTGGTGAGAGAGATACCCAAATAAGCAGACAAAAATAAATATAACACTTAATGGGATGGTTATATACATTTAAAGTAGGGGATAAACACGAGCTGGTTTGGTATATCTAGGGAAAGATTCTTAAAGAAGTATACTGTGATAACTCAAGGACAAGTAGGAGTTAGTAGTTGTATATGAGTTGTGTGCAAAAGGATTCCAGGAAGATTTGAGCAGTATGGAGAAAGGATTGATGATAAGAGGAGCAAAATATAGGTAGAATTAGAACTGTTACTGTTTTGGTTTAACTTGAACATAGAAGTTAGGGGGTTGTGGTGAGAGATGGGGTGGAGAGAGATAAGCGAGGACCAGGTTGTGAAATATTGCCTCTGTTTAGAAACAGATGCTATTTTATAAGTTTATAAATTGACTCTAATATTAGAGCAAATTTAACTTTCCATTTGAAAATACTAAGGAGTATTTGGGGAAAATAGTAAAATAGCTTAATGTCTCTAAAATGTCTGCTTTGATAATCTCTCCCAGTTAACGTATGGTGGGTTTTTCTTAATTAATATATTACATGTTTCAAAATAAGTTTAATTTGTTATATAAGGCCAAATATCTGAAATCCTTGATTTTTTTTTTTGTTTAACTTTATTTTCAGTGTATAATGCTGTTGGATTAGCTGCTTATGAGCTATTTGATAGTGTTGATTTTGATCAGTGGTTTAAAAACCAACTTCTTCCAGAATTACAAGTCATTCACAATAGGTAAATATAAAATTTTGTGTTTATTTTACATTGCTGATTTTCTGATGAAGGCAGGAAGTAGTTAAAATTGCTTATAATTGGGCTGGGGTTGTGGCTTAGTTGCAGAGTACTTGCCTCGCACATGTGAGGCACTGGGTTCGATCCTCAGCACCACATAAAAATGAATAGACAAAATAAAGATATTGTGTCCATGTATAACTAAAAATATTTTTTAAGAAATTGTTTATAATTTTTAAAGGGTCATGGTTTGACTTAGCAGGTAGTGCCTAGTAGAATATAAGACTATGAATTCTATACCTAGAATATGAGCAAGAGTTGGCTTTTATGTTACTTTAAGTTTAGATATTAAATGAATAGGATAGAAGGAAACAGTTTTCATAGTTTTTATAAATTATTTTCTAGTTTAAAATTAGAGACTATAAAAAATATTTCAGAAGGATTTTGGTTCCTGGTGTGAAGGGTATAGGTCTATCAAGTTCCTTCTGTGTACCTGGTGCCTGTTAGCATATAGTCATAGGTTAGTAAGTATTTGTGCATCAAATACTGATCAAATAGAATGCCACCCTCATGAGAATCATTTTTTGAACATTTAGAGCTACAGAATTATAAAACTGAAGATGCCTTAAAAGTAATTTCTACCAGTAAGTAGCTGTTCATCTTCTCATTTTTTTCCAATCATTTCTTCAATGAAAAAATGTTCAACAATTAGAATTTGTTATGTCCTGTAGATCCAACATTGACTCTAGTAGCCTCTCATTCTGCCCTCAGGGGCCTAGTGAAACTCTGAAGGAGAGGAAACCTCCTTTGAGGAGGCAGATATGAAATATAATTTTCCTTAAACCCAAAAGGCTGTTTAGTTTAAGACCTTCATTATCCAGTATAGTAGCTCCCCTCATGTGGCTATTGAGTAATTGAAATATGCTTAGTACAACTGAAACAATGAATTTAATTTTAGTTAATTGAAGTTTAAAAATGGAAGCTGTGTAAAATATGTATTGATTGTATATTGAAATTATAATTTGAGTATATTGAAATAAATATTATTAAAATTTACCAGTTTCTTTAGACTTACTTTAGTGTCTATACTAAAAAAATTTAAAATTACCTATATGACTTGTACAGTTTCTCTTAAACAGATGTCAAGACTGTTGTTTCTCAAATTTTATATATGAATCACTTGGTAGGAAATTTTGTTAAAATATAGATTCTGGTTATAAGGTCTGGACCAGATACTCTAGTTTTYTCATACTCCCAAAATGATGATGATGCTATTTTAGGAAGCACACACTTTGAGGAACAAGCTGATAAAGTAGTCTGGTAGTGACTTTGACCTTGGAATTTGACCTTTCTGTGCATTATTGTATTTGTTTGAACAGAGCCAAATATGGCAATACCCAGGATTTCAGTCCCAAAATTGATGATTCTTTCACCTCACTTTACACAAGTATTGTTATTTCTGCCTCTGTGTCTTTGTTCTTATAGTTCTTGTATCTTGAATTGTGTCAAGAATGAAATTTTGGACACAAGTATTTTGAGCTTTGCGATTTTTCTTCTTTCCTTAGTAACCCTCATTTCCTTTAGCAAAGATAATCAAAGAAATAAATGTACGTATATGTACTGAATATATAAAACTTTTAAAATATAAGTGATTATTTTTATACTCTGAGTCACATTCTGTAAACTGATAGCAGTAAGTTTATATGTATATTTTATGTTAGAAATAACAAGGTATTTATTGCAAGAAATCAAACATGAGCCCAAAAGTGTGTGGGCAAGGCAAACTTTTACTTCTGCCAGAAGTGTGTGCTACTGGAATCTGGCTAGCAAGCATACCCAGCCTGGTAGTCTGCCTGTTTACACACCTAACAAATTCAGTGCTGATTGGAGGACTTGGAAGTATAATCTATACAATTGGCTAATTTTAAAACTATGATGGGCACAAAGGAAGGGCTATAATTAAAAATGGCTATAGTTGGATTCAATTAAGGCTGAATACTATATTCTGAAAATGGACCACCAGACTTCTCTATTTTTCACACTTTATATAGTCCTAGAGATCATGTTTTGAAAATAATGTGGAATCAACAACTAGAATAAGAAAATTTAATGTAGGAACTCCTTTATTATTACTTTATGGGATCTCTGCAGCTTTAGCATTAAGGAATTAACACTATTTTTAGTTACTTGAGGAACAGAAGTAAAAATTTTTGTTTTTAATGTACAGATCTATGTTGCTACTCTGATGTGGTAGAATCAGGGTTATGTGGGCTTTAAGAATTTTCATTTACTTACATCAGGACTGTATTGGTAGTATTTTGTACTGTGGCATATTTTTTCAGGTAGCTTTAAAGATTTTATGTAAATGTAGAATGCATTCGGTATTACATTTTAGATTTAAATGGTGACGTATAATAAAATATTTAACATTTTACTTTCATGATTTTAACCTATCTAGGTATAAGCCATTGCGACGCAGGGTCATTTGGCTCATCGGTCAGTGGATTTCTGTGAAATTTAAGTCTGATTTAAGACCCATGCTATATGAGGCAATCTGTAACTTGCTTCAAGATCAAGATTTAGTGGTATGTTGCTTCAAATTCTTAAAATAATTGTTTTTTAAATTTCAACCTGTGCTAAACTTAAGTCAGAAAATGTTCATATTTATATAGTGTGATATTCCTTGGTTAGCAGTTTGATTTGAGGGCAGGGAAACTTTTGATTATTGTTTGCCTTTCCCACTGAGTCACTGAAAAAACATGTATTCAAACTACTACTCTGAAATCATTTTTTATATTTTAGTGAGAGAAAAAATGAGGCAGTTAGTTTTTAAAGACCCGTTTATTGTTATGTTTTTGACATTAGAGATTGAACCCAGGAGCGTTTTACCACTGACCCCCATCTGTAGTCTTTTTTTTAAATTTTGAGACAGGGTTTAATTAAGTTGCTGAAGTTGGCTTCATTCTGCCTTATCTCTTGACTTGCAGGGATTACAGTCATTAAAATCCCTTTTTACAGTATTTATTCTTTTTCTTATTCAGGACAGTCTTTTTCATTGATATAGTATCATAATCTGTTCCACCCTTACTGTTGATTGATTGCTCTTCATTTATGTGTTTTTCCTTTGTTCCGTTTTTGCCTTTGGAATTGATGTTCCTTTTAGGAATTTTTTTTAATGGTGTTCACATGATTTTCTCATATTATTGAAGCTTGATAATAGTGTCTTCATTGCTTTTTTTTCCTCATTCAAAACAGTAGGTTTGTTGTTTTACTATATAGGTCAGTTACTTAAACAGGCCTATGACAGTTAAAAATGTATATTACAGCCTCCCTTTTTTTTTTTTCCTGCTAGTGCTCTAGTGTATGTTTGAATGAATATATTAGTGTCTTAATATATACGTTTTTGTTTGGGGTTTAGATTTGTCTTCAGTATACTATTTAAGAAGTTTGGGTAAAATCAGTCCCACCACCCCCAATTTGTGCTAAGATCTTGTCTCATCATTTCTCAGTGTCAGCTTTTCCTCCACCCACCCCCTTATTTTTACTTTCAACACATCTGATTTCCCAAGCAAAGGTTTAGGCCACACTTTATTCTGAAGAAACCGCAATTAGAAATATAAATTTGGATTGCAAGAGCTGGGGCCTTGGGTGCGGGATGGCCGCGGAGCCGGGCAACTGCTCTCCTGCCCGAGGCATGGCCCGGGGTCCCAGMCCACTAGTTCTGTCTAGCCCAAGAAAGGAAAGCGACTCAAGTTCCGGGCCCTCGACGCCTGTTCTGGTCGAGTGGCCATGGTGGATTATGCCAACTCTGAAGTCTGGATGGGTCAAGAAAGCCGTCACCAACTCTCTTCAGCAGGAAGTAAAATCTCTTTGTGGTTTGGCAGCCTCCCAGCTTCCTGCAGAGGAAGCTCTTTCTGGGGTTAGTGAGTCCTGTGACATCATCGACAGCAGTGATAAGATGGATGCCCAGGAGGAAAACATCCATGAGAGAACTGTCTCCAGAAAAAAGAAAAGCAAGAGGCACAAAGAGGACTTGGACAGGGCTGGAGGAGAAGAGTATCCCATGGATATTTGGCTATTGTTGGCCTCCTACATCCGTCCTGAGGACATTGTGAATTTTTCCTTGATTTGTAAGAATGCCTGGACTGTCACTTGCACTGCTGCCTTTTGGACCAGGTTGTACCGAAGGCACTACACACTGGATGGCTCTCTGCCTTTGCACCTGCGATCAGAGTCAATCAAGAAGCTGCGCTATCTTAGGGCATGTGTGATCCGTTCTCTGTACCATATGTATGAACCATTTGCTGCTCGAATCTCCAAGAATCCAGCCATTCCAGAAAGCACTCCCAGCACATTAAAGAATTCCAAATGCTTACTTTTCTGGTGCAGAAAGATTGTTGGGAACAGACAGGAACCAATGTGGGAATTCAACTTCAAGTTCAAAAAACAGTCCCCTAGATTAAAGAGCAAATGTATGGAACGATTGCAGCCTCCCATTCAGTATGAAGATGTTCATACTAACCCAGACCAGGACTGCTGCTTACTGCAGGTCACCACCCTCAATTTCATCTTTATTCCAATTGTCATGGGAATGATATTTACCCTGTTTACTATTAATGTGTGCACAGACATGTGGCATCATCGAGTGAAACTGGTGTTCCAAGATTCTCCTGTCCACGGTGGTCGGAACCTGGGCAGTGAACAGGGTGTGCAAGTCATCCTGGATCCAGTGCACAGCATCCGACTCTGATTGGTGGCATCTGCAGTATCCRTTCTCCCTGAGAGCATAGTTATTTCTTCCCATCCTTTGGGGCAGCCCTGAGTCTAGACCATAAGTAATCAGATTTCAGTCTGAAGGGGATGGTTCTATTGTATATCTGATAAGTAATGCATATGCTCTTTTGGTTCCTGGGGCTCCTTTTATTGGAGGGAGAAGGGTTGAATCAAGAGGAAAACAACTAATATTTTAATGTAAAATTTGCATTTGAAAGGAGAACCCTGTTTTCTGTGTTAAATCCCATTTGGTGCTATTGAGTTTATTGTTCTGTATTCTTTCATCCTGTTGAAAATGGATGATCTTGCTCTAGGGAAAAATTAAACTCTTAAATCTTCAAACAAAAAAAAAAGAAAGAAATATAAATTTGCTGTAGCAACATGGTACATTTGAAAGGCAAATAGAACTGATCTTTGGATTTTTCAACTTACATATTATCTACTTTGTGTAAATAATTGAGAATTTATTTTAAATATCATTCTGTAGTGATTAAATAGTATAAATATGGGAGGTTACAGGGAACCCATATTTTTTTTACCTAACTGCTTTAAAGATTATAGTTTTCTAGCCAGGCATGGTGGCACACCTCTGTAATCCCAGCAGCTCAGGAGACTGAGGCTGGAGGATCAGCAGTTCAAAGCCAGCCTCAGCAATGTTGACACGTTGTGCAGCTCAGTGAGACCCTGTCTCTAAGTAAAATACAAAATAGGGCTGGGGATGTGTCTCAGTGGTTGAGTGCCTCTGAGTTTAATCCCCAGTACCCCCMAAAAAATTATGGTTTCTTGAAATTAATTTACTTTTCAAAAGCTTCAGAGTAAAACACAAGATTTAAATTTTTGTTTTCATAGTTGGAAAATACCATTTGCTTTTCTGTCAGTAGTATCCGAGAAAAGACTTTAAATGACTTGTGTGTTATAAAAGTATTAAATCTCAATTCAGCTTTCTTTGGGAAGTAGAGAACTTTCTTGTGTCATACCCTCTTTATAATAATCAGTCTATTAAAAAGAAGACAAAAGTGAATTATTTTTATCATTATTTTAAAAGTGGAACGTTAATTATACCAGTTATTAATAAATATTAATGGGGAGAAATGATTTCATGGCCAAATATTAACATAGTTCTCTTTATTAAGGACTGGTCAGAACCTTAAAAAATGAATATTTGCATTGTGCCTATCCAAGATCAAGAATATAGAGGTTATACTGCTTTAATTTAGATCTGTGAGAAGTGCTGGCTAGAGAAATGTGGGAAGTTGCCTTACACATACATAAATATTAGATATACATATATACACACACAATAGTATGTATATAAGCATATGTATATACATGCAAACATGATAGTATGTGCATGTGTGTAAACATACACACAGTGTGTATATATTTATACATGTGTATATCCAGATATACAAAATGTATAGATTCTGATAAATCTAAATCTTTTCTGGCTTTCCAAATCTGCATTTTCTTGTTTAAGTGCTCTTGTAGACTTGGTATAGATTTGATACTGAGCAACTGCATTTTCTATTTCTTATACCTACAAGGAGACACAGCTATGATGGAACAGAAATAGTGCTGCAATTATAGGAACAACTTCTCCAGTTACTGCAGCCTTCCATAAATTTTGTATGAGGGCCAACATTATATTTTTAACATATGTATGTCAAATGTATTTATGAAATAAAACATTACAAAAATGCAATTGAATCCTTCTCTATCTTTCTAGTTTCTGCCTATTGTCTTCTGTGTTGAGCAGAGGTTTTTAATTTTAATAGATTACAGTCAGATTATGTTTTGTACTTCTTTTCTTGTTTAAGAAATTCTCTTTTTTTCTTTGTCATATTCAAAATCTGCTTTTGAATATAATGTGAAGTAAGTATTAAATTTTCATTTTTTTTCTGGAGTAACTTGTCAAATAATCAATAATTTTCTCAGTGATTCATAAGATGACCTACCAGTCATATGCCAAATTGACACAAATGTGTTTCTGTTTTTGGTCTTTGTTCTATTCCAGTGGTCCAGTTTCTCATTTAAATATTGTTTCAATTACAACACCTTTTTTTATAGTAACTCATAACACTTGCTATGAAATGCATTCTTATACTCTTGAATACTAACAAATTTTTTATGGTTTTTTAAAAAGTCAAATGATTTTTATTAATAATCTTTTTTATTTTTATTTATTTACTTATTTTTGTACTGGGGATTGGACTCAGGGGCACTCAACCACTGAGCTGCATCCCCAGCCCTATTTTGTATTTTATTTTGAGGCAGGATCTCACTGAGCTGCTTAGTGCCTCCCTTTTGATGAGGCTGACTTTGAACTCATAATCCTCCTTCCTCAGTCTCCTTAGCTGCTGAGATTATAGGCGTGTGCCATAGAGCCCGGCAATTAATCATGTTTTTTTTTTTTTTTTCCAGTGGTATAATGTGTACACTTGCTTTTAATTGGGCCCCTCTTTACACTTATTAACTGGCTCTTTTAAAAACATATTACAAGTTCCTTATACTATAATTTGAGACTATTGACTTATATTCTGTACCACAAACCAAGATATCTATTTAAAAAAAAAATCTCCCTTCCATCTTCACACTTAGGACATATTACATAGCAGGTGCAGTGCTTGTGAGAAGTTTCAGGTTTGAGAACACTAAATTTCTACAGAGTAAATTAGAATTACTAAATTTTAGGTGAGAGGAACTTAATTTTTTTAGGAATACACAATTTTTATTTATTTGTTTGTTTATTTATTGTGGTGTGGATCAAACCCAGGGCCTTGTGCATGCTGGGCAAACACTCTACTACTGAGCTACACCCCTAGCTCCCACAGATGATTCTGTAACCAGAATATTTGGTGTGTATAACTGGGCTTCTTTAGGTTTTAAAGTTTCTGAACCAGTTATGTCTTGAAGCTCAGTAATTTGAGGTAATGTTTGTTTTTAAGTTAGGTTATCTGCAGCCTTCAGTGAAATAAGCAGTAAACTACTGAAAATTTAGTTCTAATGTGATCTTTCACTCTTGTGGGAACCTAGATAAGATATAAATTGTGGTGTAACCAAAAGGTCTGTAGTTGGGGTGTGTGGTGGTTGTTGAGAAGTAACAAAGTAGCCATCTTCCTGGGCAGGTTGACTACTAACAAACAATCAGTGAATTTTTGAAAATGAAACATGTTGTAATGATATGATTTGCTCAGAAGACATACTATACTTGCAAAACATATTATTTGGGAGTTCAGAAACTTGTACAACTTTCTATACTTGTGAAGTTTGGGATTTAGAAAATATATCTTTTGTATTTCAAGGGTTTTCTATAATTGAGGTTAGAATGGGAGTTTGTGTTCTCTTTCCTTCCCCTTTTATTCCTCCTCATCTCCTCCTGCACCCTTTACTTGCATATCTTGGTGCTTGCTCTACTCCTGCTCTTCCTGCTTCTCAGCCTTCCTTTGCCCTGACATCAACTACACACTGTTCTTCCTAAGTCCCACGCTCTCCATCTACCTTCTGGCAATTTTTTGTTTTTCTTCCTGGAAGCATCCATCCAGCCTGAATTAAAGTCTCCTTAAGTAAATTTAGAAAACTCAGGTAGAAATATATAATGTTTTAGTATCATCTTTTTTTATCCCTTGCTCCAGCTAAGGGGGACTATCTTTATTTCTGCATTTAATTCTCTGACTTTGATATTAAAAAAAAAAGTCTGGACAAAATTTTAAAAATAAAAAACAAAATGCAAAGTAGAGAAAATGATTTGAAATACTTTTTCTCATTAGATATTAATGATGTTTAGTAGTTCTAGAATGATTAAATGTAATGGTGTACTTTCTTTAGGTCCGGATTGAAACAGCCACAACTCTGAAGTTAAATATCCTTTTAAAAATTTAAAAGTACTTTATTACAAAGAAGTTTGTTAACACTTATGAATTATTATATTTTAAATTAATTTGAGTTAATTTAAAATGTAGGTTTTGATTGGTTTATATTTGTTTTAGATACATTCTTATCATGATAAACCTCCTATGAGTTCTCTGTGTTCCTTAACTTCATTTACCTGTTGATGATTTTGAATTTAGAACAGATCAGTTTCTACCGGTAAGAATATTCATTTCCAGATTTTATAACAATTGCTACTTATATTTTTTGAATATTGTGTTGTTTTATAACTGAAATTATGTATATACATGCATAAATAGTTATTAAAACTGAATTTAAAAATACATTGGATTATTTTGGAGGATCTCACTTTTTTTTGTAACTCTTCTGATAAACTTGTTGGAAACAGGTCACTTTTATTGTGTGTAGTTTTGTTTAACTATTTTGTCATTGATTTTGAAGTTAAACACCAACTTTTTCTTTTTTTACAATTATAAAATATCTAATATTTTAATTTATGTGTTACTTTTTTTKGGGGGGGGGTACCAGGGACACACTGAAGCACATCTCCAGTCCCTTTTTTATATTTTATTTAGAGACAGGATCTTGCTAAGTTGCTGAGGCTGGCTTTGAACTTACTATCCTGCCTCAGCCTCTTGCCTCAGCCTCCAAAATCGCTGAGATTATAGGTGTGCTGCACCACACTCATCTCTGTCTGTTACTTTTATTCCTTATATTGTTTCCCTCCATTATTTGGGTTTACATGGGTGAATCTTGACAGTAGATTGCAAATTACTTGAAGAGAAGAATACCAAATCATGTTCATCCTTTTGTTATTCACTAAACCTGAGCACCTAGCATAGTGTTTTCAAATAGTTGGTTCTCAGTAAGCATTTGTAAAATATATTAGTAACATTGAAGTGTTAGTGTTTGTTCTTAAGAAGACTAGGTGAGAAGAAAATTATATGATAAAATGTCTGTTGTTTATTTATCTTTTTTGTGTTATAGATTGGAAAACTTGTAGAGGAATAAGTTTTTAAAATAATTAATTATTAGATATTTTTAATGAAAGAAATGTTTTAGTATTTTATATAAAAATGAACATTCACCAAAAACAATAATAAAAAATTAACCAGGGGTTGGGGTTGTGGCTCAGTGGATAGCGTGCTTGCCTTGCACCCGTGGGGCACTGGGTTCAATCCTTAGCACCACATAAATAAATAATAAAATAAAGGTATTGTGTCCATCTGCAACTAAAAAAAATTTAACCAAATATCTGAGTGAACGAATGGTTTATATAAGTCCCTGTGATTTGTCAGTTTCAAACATAATTTTTATAATGTAGGTGTTCAAAGCCAGACACATTATGAGTTTTTTATTTTTTAATAAATGGTCTGTCATTCATAGAATAACAAGCATTTATCTCCCAAATTTTGTATCTCCATGCCACATAAGTTAAAGACCACATCAGATAACTAGCCATGAGTACAATAATTCATGTTCTTTTTGCTTAAATATATATTACAAAAAAAAAAACATTTTGTGATTGGTAATAGAAATGTGGAAGAAGAGTGAGAAGGTACTATTAATAGCTTAGTTAGTTAGTATAGACAGTCTTTTTCTAAACATTCTATTTGTGGGTGATTAAGATTGTCAAAGGGACACATTTAGTAATAATAAAATAACAAATTAATGTCTTAGATGTATTGATGCTTGAACAATTTAAAATTGTTACTAAGGTTTTGACTTTCTGCTTATCTTTCATTGCTTCAATATGATTTATTTTTTATTTACGTCCCTATAGATGTAGAGGTCTATACATTTTACTTCTCAAACTTTTTTTCCTTTTACCTGCAGTATTTGGAGACCATGTTCACACTACTTTTTCAGTTATTGCAGCAAGTTACAGAATGTGACACGAAGATGCACGTTTTGCATGTCCTTTCTTGTGTGATTGAAAGAGTCAACATGCAGGTAATTTTGTTATAAAACATGAAAATAAGTGTCAGAGAGGTAAGTAGAATATGTGTAGAATTCATCAATATCTTTGTTTTTCAATCTATTTCTTTTTAAATTAATTTTTTTTTATAATTGTAGATGGACAGCATGCCTTTATTTAATTTATTTTTTTATGTGGTGCTGAGGATCRAACCTAGTGCCTCACACATGCCAGGCAACTGTGCTGCCACTGAGCTCCAGCTCCAGCTGTCAGTCTACATTGTTTAAAAGTTAATATGAAAGTTAATGTGTTCAGCCCGGTGCAGTGGGTCACACCGTAATACCAGTGGCTCAGGAGGCTGAGGCAGGATAATTCAAAGCCAGCCTCAGCAACTTATTGAGGCACTAAGCAACTTGGTGAGACCCTGTCTCTAAATAAAATACAAAATAGGATTGGGGATGTAGCTCAGTGGTTAAGTGCCCCTGAGTTCAATCCTTGGTACCTGCTCCCAATCCAAAAAATATGTTCATTAAAATGCATTGGTTGTGATTTTATTTATGTGTTTAGAATTTATGTGTCTATACATGTTTTTTAAAAATAACTAATAAGAAAAATTGAAATTTGAAAAAGCTACATCAACATGGTAGAGGATTTAGAAAGGAAGTAGAATTTTCCATATCTTAGAAAATCTGGTTTAGTCTTAATACTTTTAAAATTCAGTCCAATTGAAGGCATGGCCACAGGTGTTTGTCAGCATGTACACATATTCTCAGGGATCTGTTATTTTACCTTAAAAATTAAATGTGTTTGGCCCACATTATATCTTCATTTGGTTTAATATAAAAATGATATGTAAGGTTGTTATCAGTTATTTGGTTTCTTTTGTTATTCATCTTTGTGAAAAATTGATAACTCTGGGAGCACATTATTATTATCCTGTGGCAGCTTATATCATTCACAATAATATATCTTTGTTTGAAAATCACTGTATTGTGATAGGTAAGATGAAAATTTCAGTGTAGTTTTGATTTGCGTTTCCCTGGTTAATAAGGATGTTCAATTTTTTTTTTTTTAATCTATTTGTTGGCTGCTTGTATTTTTTTTCTTCCTGACAAATGTCTGTTTAGTTCATTTGCCATTTATTGATTGGTTTACTTGTGTGTGTGGTTTTTGTTTGTTTTTTGTGTGTGTGTTAATTTTTTTGTGTGTTCTTTATATAGTCTGAATATTAATCCTCTGTCAGAAGACTAGCTGGCCAAGATTTTCTCAGGTGGTGGTTTTCCGGGGATTAAACTCAGGGACAATCAACGACTGAGCCACATCCCTAGCCCTATTTTGTATTTCTTTTAGTGACAGGGTCTCACTGACTTGCTTATTAATACCTTGCTGTTACTGAGGCTGGCTTTTAACTTGAGATCCTCCTGCCTCAGCCTCCCAAGCTGTTGAGATTATAGCGTTTACCACTGTGCCCAGCTATGTGCTCTCTCTTCAGGCTCTTGTTTTCTTGTTGTGCAGAAGCTTTTTAATTTGATGCTGTCCTGTTTATTGATTCTTGGTTTTATTTGTTGAGCTCTAGGAGTCTTAGTAAGAAAGTCTCTATATGCAACTGTGTATTTGAATATTGACCCTGTGTTTTCTTCTAGTATTTGCAAAGTTTCTGGTCTGCTTCCTAGATTTTTTGATTCACTTTGAGTTGACTTTTATACAGGATGATACATAGGGATCTACTTTTGTTCTTCTATATATGGATATCCAGTTTTCTGAGCACAATTTATTTAAAAAGTTGTCTTCAATATATATTTTTAGCATCTTTGTCAAAGGTGAGTTGATTTGTGGGTTTGTCTCTGTGTTTTTTCTATTCCTTTGGCCTTCATGTCTGTTTTTATACCAATACCATGCTGTTTTTCATTACTATAGCTCTAGTATAATTTGAGATTGGGTACCATGATGGCTTCAGCCTTGCTCTTTTTCAGGATTACTTTGGCTTTCCTGGATCTTTTATTCTTCCATATGAGTTTTAGGACTATTTTTTTCTATTTCTGTGAAGGTTGTCATTGGTATTTTGATGTGAATAGTTTGGATCTGTAGATTGCTTTTGGTGATATGGCCATTTAACAACATTAATTCTTTCTTTCCAAGAACACGGACTGCCTTTTCCTCTTCTAATGCCTTCAGTTTCTTTCACCTCTATTAATGGTTAGACTTATTCCCAGTCTCCTTTGTTTCATTGTCTTGTCTTGTCTTGTCTTTTCGAGGTGACTATGAATGGAACTATTTTCCTGATTTCTTTATGGACTTAGTAGGGATTGTAGTCATTAAAAATGTAAATAATAAATTCTGGCAAAGATGTTGGGAAAAGCAACACTTAAACATTATTGATGGGTCTATAAATTAGTACAACCACTATGGAGAGCTAGAAATAAAACGACTCATATGTCCCAGCTATTCCACTCTTGGTATTAATCCAAAAGAACTAAAATCAGCTAGTGATAAATGGATAGCAGTTTTTGTTTTGTTTTGTTTTGTTAGCAGAGCAGTTCACAATAGTCAAAGTCTGAAACCAGCATAGGTATCTGATTAGAGATAAATGAATAAAGAAAATGTGTTGTATATACACATTGAATTGTACTTGACCATAAAGAACAGTGAAATTATGTCATTTGCTAACAAATGAATGGAACTGCAGAAAATCATGTTATGAAATAGGCCAGACTCAAAATGTGATGTTTTCTCTCATGTGGAAACTAAAGAGAAAAAAGGAATAAAGAAAGGATCTCATAAAAATAGAAGGAAGAAGGATAGAATAGGAGAAGGTGATTGAAGCTAAGGAAGGAAGAGCAGAAAAGATGAGGTACTAGGATAAAGAAAGGATCTCATAAAAATAGAAGGAAGAAGGATAGAATAGGAGAAGGTGATTGAAATTAAGGGAGGAAGAGCAGAAAAGATGAGGTACTAGGGAATAAAATTGACCAAATTATGTATTTTCATATATGAATATTTTTTGTGGTGGTGGGGATTGAACCCAGGGCCTTGTGCATGCAGGGCAATCACTCTTACCAACTGAGCTATGTCCTCCACCTGCAATATATTTTTGTTTAAAAGGGTGAATATAAAGATAAGGATTGGCTATTAGATAATAATCTTATTTAGATACATCTGACTAATGAATTTCTTTTCATTAGTTTTTTTCTTTTTGTAGAAATGACTTTTCCTTTTTTTGAATTCTTTATTTATGTATGTCTTATTTAACAATATTTCAACCTGTGTCTCCCTAAACCTCTAACTAAACCTTTTTTCCAAAATTTTGAATTTATTTTTTTCTAAGTGTTGATAGTTACTTTTTGTTTAATGCCGAAAGTTTTCTCTGGGTGACTATGAACAGATATGCTGAAAATTGTTTGGTATAGCAAAAATCAAAAAAAGCTAAATTAATTAGAAAATATAAAAATAATTTAAATGCAATATAAATTTAGATATCTGTCAAAGCAGATCTTTCCATACCATAAATTCTTGTACAAAACAATCATGTATCAATATTTTGGTCAAATTTTAACTGTGACTCAGTTGGAATTGGTTTTTTACCAACTCATCTGAATATGAAGTCCAGGCCCCCAATAACTTGAGCCAGATAAAATATCAAGCAGCCTCGTTGGCTCCTTGGTTAGTGGAAGACTTGGTAATGCTATAACGTCAGTTTGAGTAAACATACAGCTTGAAATTTTAGTGTCTCTTGGATTTCTTCATTTAGTTTTGTCTACAAATGGAAAGAAATTCATTTGTTTACTGAGTGATACATACTATAATAAAATGTTTTTTTTTCCCACATTGAAACTCTTATTGTTGAATTTAAAAATGATTTTTGATTTTTATTTATTCTCATCTTTCAGAACACAAAAAGCCTAACCAGCTTAGGTAATTATCCCATTTGTAAGCAATAATAAGATATAGCTATCCAGTAGAAGCTTTTATTTTCAGAACTCAGACTAAGATAGGAAATGCTTAAGAAAAATATTCTCAGTTATCTGCTTCTTTATCTATGTTAACCTTTGAACAACTCCATTTTTGTATCCTTGTCATAAGTGTCCCTTAACTATCTTTCATATGCTAAATTTGATTTTTGTCTAATTTTGAAGTTTTAGTGAAGTCACTCTCTTTGCACCTTATTAGTGTGCAGTTATTTAAATATTGTATCATCTCTACTCTTTGAAAAAGTGTTTAAAAGTCTACAGTTATGTTATTCTAATGCGGAGATCCTATGAATACATAGTCAACAATAAATATCCATTCATTGGGTATGATGTCAGGCATGGGTTTAATGAGCTTGGGTTTAATCCTCAGCACCACATATTTCTGAAGAAAACAAAATTAAAAGACTTCTGTGACTATATATATATATATATATATATATATATATATATAATATAAAGACTTCTGTGACCTTTTTAATATATATATAAATAAGAATTTATATAATAATTGTTACCTAAAATATGAAGTGTCATCAGAGACTTTAAATTTTTTTAAACCCCCCATGGATAGAGTTCTTGTTAAAACATTTGTTAGACTATTAAATATCACATTTAGTCATGTTTTCAAGAACATGTTACGAATAAAAGTAGAAATCTCCCTATACGTGAACTAACTCATTAAAATATTCATAGTACTTCTCTACCCCTCTTTCAGAAATTCTTTGGTAAGAACATTTAACAAGAGAGAGATTTATAAACAAATCTTTCAGTATACAACATATTATTGTTGACTATTGATACAGTGTTGTACAGCAAAATSAACAGTCTTGATTAACAGAAAATTTATACCCATTGATCTGTAAATCCTCTTATTTCCTTCCCCATTGCCCCTGGTAACCACTATTCCACTATTGGATTCAATGAATTTGACTATTTTAGGTATGTTTTATAAGTGGAATTGTTCAATATTCATCTTTCTGAAACAGACATTTAATTTAGCATAAAGTCCTTAAAACTCCATGTCACATACAGCAGAATTTTTTTAATGTATGGTTATCGCTTGATATCCTCAGGGGATTGGTTTCAGCATATCAAAATTTATATCTGTCTAAAGTCCCTTATATAAAAATATGTAATATTTGCATATCTTATTTACTTTAAACCATATCTAGATTACTAATAATAGCTAATGCATTTTAATTGTTGCATTAGTAATTATTGTGCTGTATTATTTAACACAATGACAGAAAACCAGTCTGTACATATTTAATACAGACACATTATTTCTTAAATATTTTCCATTCAAGGTTTGATCTGAGGATGTATAAATTATAGATACAGCTGATTATGTATGCTATTTTTTATATACCACATATTCTTTAACCATTCAGTCTGTTGATGGATATTTAAGTTGATTGCACATATTGGCTATTGTGAATAATGCTAAAATGAACTCATAGAGTATGAGTGAGCTCTTCAGGATCCTRATTTCAATTCTTTTGAGATTGCTGGATCATATTTTGAGGAACTTCATACCAGTTTTTATTAGGAGATGCAACATTTGACTTCATGGTTTCTCTACCTCATTGAAATATTTTTTGGTTCTCATATTACCACTCTATCTTTAATCCCCAGTCCTTTTGATTTTTTTTTTAACAATAGTGACTATAAGTGATTTTTGAAGCATTGTTTTTGAAGCATAAACCTTAAGTTAGAATGTATATTCTAATAAAAAGCTAAGATTGGGGGCTGGGGTAGTGGCTCAGTGGTAGAGTGCTTGCCTAGCACATCTGAGGCACTGGGTTCAGTCCTTAGCACCACATAAAATAAATAAAATAAAAGTATTGTGTCCATCTGTAACTAAAAAAATTTAAAAAAAGAAAAGTTAAAATTTATATATGTATATGTGTGTGTGTATATATATAATATATAATAATATATATAATATATATATATATATTATGGCTTTCATATGTAACTAGGTTGTTTGATTTTATTACCCCACCTTCTGTTCTTTGGAGTATCTTTTCTATTTTTTATAAACTCGGTCTTATTTTCCTTATCAGTAGATTGTGTTGAATTTGGTATGTTGAAACCTGTGTTGTTTATTTTTTTTTTAATTTTTATTATTGGTTGTTCAAAACATTACATAGTTCTTGACATATCATATTTCATACATTTGATTCAAGTGGGTTATGAACTCCTATTTTTACCCCGTATACAGATTGCAGAATCACATCGATTACACATCCACTGTTTTACATAGTGCCAGACTAGTGTCTGATGTGTTCTGTTGCCTTTCCTATCCTCTACTATCCCCCCTCCCCTCCACTCCCCTCCCCTCCCATCTTCTCTCTCTACCCCATCTACTGTAATTCATTTCTCTCTCGTTTTTTTCCCCTTTCCCCTCACTTCCTCTTACATGTAATTTTGTATAAAGATTAGGGTCTCCTTCCATTTCCATGCAATTTCCCTTCTCTCTTTCCCTCCCACCTCTCATCCCTGTTTAATGTTAATCTTCTTCTCATGCTCTTCCTCCCAACTCTGTTCTTAGTTGTTCTCCTTATATCAAAGAATACATTTGGCATTTGTTTTTTAGGGATTGGCTAGCTTCACTTAGCATAATCTGCTCTAGTGCCATCCATTTCCCTGCAAATTCCATGATTTTGTCATTTTTTAGTGCAGAGTAATACTCTATTGTGTATAAATGCCACATTTTTT